TAGATGCCCTGGTTGTTTAGGGGTTCTGCCGGGTTTAAGTACCTTCCTTCCCCTTTGATTTCTGTTGACGGTGCTTGCCCTGGAAACGACGGCGATGAAGCTATCCTCCTACAACCCATTTGAAGTCGCTGTCGTCTCTCTGAACTTGCAGGGTGGGTGGTTGCGAGACACGACCTGATCAAGAAATAAATGCCACATCGGGCGCCAGGTTTTGTGAACACGACCGCTTTGTGCAAGAAATTTGCGGATCTAGTATATCCACGAACTGCTTTTGCAAAGCGGTCGTGTTGACATGCTGTCAGCGTGACTTGCAACCACCGTGATGCGCACAAGTTCCTAGACCGTGAATGCTCATCGCTTCCTACCCACAGTTACAAGGCACAATTGTCCGCAGGCATCATCATGCGGCCATCACTCCTGGGTCCTGTACCTCGCGTTTAGCGTGGTCGTCGCGCAGATAGCCTTCGACATGGCCATGTCCTGCCGACTGTAGTGGGAACACATTGCTCTTGCAGGGGACCTTGCGATGATGAAGACAGTGCCATGGAATTACCTAGTACCGACACCCTACACGATGGTGTCAATCTTGGGCTTCGTCCTCGTCATCTTGGTGTTTGCTTTCTTCCCAGGTCGCACGGTCTTATGCACGGCAATTGCAGGGATCGGAGACACGCTCTTTGGATTTCTGATTGTGTGCGACACCCAGCAGATCTTCGGCTCTGCAGCGGCAAGCTTCAGGTGGAAAGAGAGACATGGAGCAGACGATTGACTTGTATGCACTTGCTGCTTCGAATCTCTACTGGGACTTCTTGAGTTTTTCCATCTACATGCGACTCCTCGGTGAAAGGGAATGGTCGACGTCGGCAGCTCGATCTTCCGAGTTCGCGTCCTCATGAGCGACAAGGCCACAGAATCCGTGGAGCCCTTGAGGCTTCGCGAACGTTCTGAATCGAACGGCTTCGTCTCAGGGGCTTTGCTCGTGCACAAGTGGCAGCAGGTGAATGAACTATTAAATGTCTGCCTTCGGGATACCTTTTGGAGGGATGGGGGTTAAAACAACAAAACTTGTTTAGGAAGGCATCAAAAGTAACCATTTCAGAGATCGAAAATCTGTTCGTATTGCATAAGCAAAAAAGAGAGCAGGAGAGAAGAAACAGAACGGAACACAGACACCTGTCCCAGGGATCAAATAAGAGCTATTCCGAGCAAAATATAGAGAGGAGGACAGAAGGAAAAAACGACATAAACAAAAATAAATAAGAAATAACAAAGCACGTAGCAACAGAAAGAAAGAAATAAAGCGTTAAAGACAGAAATACACAACGAGAGAACTAACAAACAAATAACATTGTAATTCCCAGTAACGTGGTGCAAGTCAAGGTCCTGCAAGTTGGAGTTATCTAATAGCGTGATGAAAGGCAAAAGCCTCGGAATTGTAATCCCCCAATTGCTTTGCGCCCTGCAAATTGGAATTCTCAAATAGCTTGATGCAAAGCAAGACCTCACACATTTCAATTCAGCAATAGCTTCCCACAAACTAAAAGCCTTGGAATTGTAATCCTCTAGTAGCTTGCGCAATTCAAAGCAAACAAACTTGATGCAAAGCAAAGTTCCATGCTTCAAAGAATAGCATGCCATAAAGCTATCAAACCGCCCAAGGCTGTGAGGATGGTGGTTAGCTTGAAATACATGAACCAATCAAGAAAGAAAGGACAGCAATTCAGCACAGAGAAAAGAAAGAAACGAAAGAAAGAATGACGACAGCAAGAAAGAGAGAAAGAAAGGACTAGATACATCCGGACAAACATTCAGCACAGATCACATGACATAACTCTTACAGCAGCTTTCAAGTTCTCAAATCCATCATGCAGGCACTCCATCTGCAACATCATCCTACCAGCAAAAACGCAGCCCGTATGGACCCTTTCAGACCCCGTGATACAGACGTACATTGGGTTCGCAAACCGAGGCGGTGGGGGCTGCGCCCCACACCTTCCACCTGGAACGCGTATTGCCCTGCTTCATCTATATTTTGCTTATAGAATAGGAATAGAGTTTGTTTGATACCCACACAGTAGTTTTGACTGATCGTTTATTATAGTCTTTTGATCTTGTAAAATAGTTGGTTGTTGTTTTTTTGTTGACGCTTCAGACCCCTTTTGGACACATGTGCATTTTGCTGGAAACTTGTTTCGCCAGGTTTTGTTCAACAAGTATCACGACTTTCCGACCTCAGCATGTGCGAGCCAGATGAGCATATCTGGATTCTTGAGGCTGGGCGCCGTGCTTGTTTTTGCAGCCGCCGTCTGTTGTTACCAGTATGCAAGAGGCCGCTCGAATCAGATTCCGTGGGGAGTAGTTCAGCACTCGCAGTCAGTGCCTGTTCTGGCCAAAAGCTCCGGAGCAGGTTCTGCTTCGACTTTGGATTGTTTCCTTCGGTTGTTGACCTGCAAACCATACAGCCCGAGCCTTACGATGACGCATGTCCGTTTGGATGCAGGTGGCCAGTCTGACTGCTGGTCCTGCTGGCCATGAGTCGCTTCTGAGAACCTCCCACGATTCATCTTGACACCAGAAAGTCTTCCCACTTCGTAAGGCAGCTCTACGGCTTGTGCGCAGCAGAAGGCGAGAAACAGGACATGTCGGTGCTGGTGGTTAGAATTCGCAGTTAGCATGAAGCAAGAGTTGTTGTTGGGAGTAGGTGGGGTCCGCAATTGTCCGAAATTGCCGAATGACACGCAGAGTCGGAGAACCATTGACCCTGCCGTAACGATCACACATGCGGACGGTCGAAGTGCATGAGACCCCGATATATGCCTCAGCACCTTCATCTGAACACTTGCTTGGACTTTGTGAGAGCCCGTGGCTTGGCAGGATGCAAAGAGCAGCTCGACCGACCGTGCTGCAAGCCCCGCGCCCACGAGGAGCTCGCAGAAAAAACGAATCTCACCGAAGAAGCTCCGCTAGGGCCCCGGCATGCAGTCAAGCTGTGTGTGGAACAGGTGGCCGTGTGTTCAAATCATGGGAGAGCTGCAAGAGTTTGCGCCTATTGAGTGCCTGTCGCCCGCCCTACGGTCTTCAAGCCAACATGCCCGAATGCATGCAAATCTGATGTCTGGAGCTTCAACTGTCGGAGCTTTCAAGCCTTGCGGGTTGCAGACATGTGTGTGCGGCATCAAGGAGCACATGGTGGTGGTGCTACAATCTGCTAGAATCCGCTAGAAAGTAAACCCGGTCCCATGATTTGACGAAAAAGCACGCCCATAAGGCAAGCAAGCAGATTCACCAAACCAGATCTTCTGGAACGGGCAGCAGGTCCCGATGCCCCAGCCTCAGCTGAAGGATGTCCATGCCGATCTTACACTCGTTGTGTAGTTCTCTCGGCTGTCGGAAGACTTCGCCGATCTGCCGGTGCAACTTGAGTGGCAAAGGCTGCAATCCAACAATCCGGGGAACCGAATCTGGTAAAGACCCAAACTTTTAAGAATGCAAAGCCCAGAAGAGTCGATCTGCATGCTGCGTACACTTCCTCTTTCTGAACCTGGGGTAAACCATTCTTAAGCCGGAGAAGTCCTGGCAAGGCATTTGGGCTGGCTGACGCGCGACTTTGCCCATCACAGCGAGCAGGACGGGCAGGTGTAGTCCAGCTAGAGCTGCGAGCGCCACTGCCCGTGCAGCAGCTCCGAGAGCTCAAATCAGGAGTCCAAGTGCGTCTGCATCCTCAGTGCCATCAACGACTGGATGAAGGAGTTCAGCGACGTAGACTTCATGGCTTAGGAAACAGACAGCTACAAGTGAGCAGACGAGTCACGAAATTGAAGTCGCATTTCGTCGCTAAAAACCTGAATCTGTCCTGAATAGGGTGCGATGCTTTTGATTTTTGTGAGTCACATGATGTGAGGACCGGATGTGGACGTCCGCCGACGTCTTCAATTTTCTGGAGCAACGTTGCTCGTAGCTATCCACGCGGGGATAGGGGGAAGTGCTGCCGAAGTGTCATACATCATGCTTGGAGGGCTGTGCGGCTGCAGGACATCAATGCGAGTGGCTTAATCAGCACGCGCGAGTTCATCGAAGGTAGCATGCTGCTAACTACTGCAGTGGGTGCCAATGCTACAAACGTGTCCCACACGGTAGCACATTTGCTTTTTTCATGCTGTGGCAGGGGTGAAACTCATGCGGTTGAAGAACTTGCCCAGCGACGAGGAACTTCGCAGGCCGCGGCACGCCCAGTGGCGGCTGGTCCTTACATTCCGACAGTTCAATGTGTAAAATGTGTAGCCAATCATCAGGCCGTTGAGAACCAGACCACGCGAAAGATCGAAAGCATGATTTTTGAACCCGAAGTCCCCTTGCCATTTCTTTGCATATAGCGCCAAGCTATAGATTCCGGTGGCAGGTTGCTGCCTCTTCTCATGTCTGCCGACAAGGGCCTGATAGCTCCGCGGGAACTGCATCAGGCATGAGCTACAGAGCGAGACCATTCCGAGCGAGTGTGGGGTCCAGCAGGTCGTAGAAGCCTTCTCTGTCACCTCTCACCTCGAAGTTGCAAACTGGAGGCTTTGGCGGTCATCGCGAAGCAGAAGCACAAGTTGGACCTTGCCTCGATCCCAGAGTCCCAGCAGACATCGGGCCATCTTCGCCATCACGGGAGTATGGGGTGTGGCAGCAATGCTTGTGCCGTTGGTGGCAGTTGTGCTCGTCGTCGTCGCAGCGCCAGTTCTATCCCCTCTCGTATCGCTTATATAAGTAGATGTAAAGCAACATCGCACCAGTATCTAGCAGTGGTAGAAGCTAGATGCTGTTGCAGATGGGAGGTTGTACCTCTCAACATACCTACCAGCAACTTTCGCAACCTGAGATGGTGTCAGCAAGGTCAGCCGCATAGCTGGCCAAGTCGAAACGTAAAGGTGGCAGTGCCAGCAGAATACATGACGTGACATGGTGTGTGCAGGATGAAACAAAAAAGAGTGGTATAGTATTAGGCACTGACCAGTATATGCCACAAAACAGAGAGCAGACACGCGAGGCAGCCAACTTTTTCCTCAAGCCCGAGCCGGACATGTCCATGGCAGAGTGGAACGCCAGCCACTTCTTCAGGGACCTGGTCAAGGCCTGGAAGGGAGACTTTGCCGATGGGGTACTTGCAAGTGTGCAATCTTTGACCTGCTTGCGATGTGGGTTTCTTGAGTTTTCAAGTGGGGGTATGTCGGCAGGTGATGGAGAAGAATTCTTGGTCGCCAGGGCGTCTCTTTGCTGAGCTTGGAGGTGGCAAGGACCTCTTGTCCCGATCCTTTCGTCTCGCTGGAATGTTTTTTGAAAAGTCACCTGCAGCAGTGGTTCGCGGCTCGCTGCGCGACACATCGCCGAGTGCTCCCGGAAAATGCAGGAAGCCATCACCAAGCAAGAGCTCGAGGAGAAGGTGATCCTTCACCTTTCTTCCCCTACCCGTGCTAGATTTCAACACGCATGTCCTGCTAAAGACATTAAGTCAAGTTCGGTTTGTGCTGCATGTGCTCGGCTAGCCAGACTTGTCTGTCTTTGGTCGTGGAAGCAGGCGCGCGTCTTGCTTCGAGTGCACTGTGGCCGCAGCCCGGCCCTGGAAGTCGCCCAGCCCTTCGACATCCTCGATGTGAATGGGGACGGGGGACTTGCATGCAGGGTACACGGTAAGGCGAGGAACGTCCGTTCCAGCTCAGTGCAGCAGTCAGCTGCTTTATAGGAAGAGAGTTTGCCTTTGCCCCCTGCGTAGAAGGTAGGTTTTCACCCAACTTGTTAACGGTCTCAAGCGTCATTTATTCCGTGGTGCTGGGAAGGTGACATTGACCTAGGTCTAGACCCATCTGGGCGCCAACTTACAAAATCGGACGATCCAACAAGCCAGACATCCTTTTCTCCAACAAGGCGTCGTGCACTACCGCCGCTTCTGGCCCCACTCCCCCCAGTTCCCGCGCTAAAGCACAAGCTTGCAGATGTGATGCCCCAACCTGGCGATGTTTCGCGGTTGTTGCAGGTGAAAGTACTGGTACGTGGTCGGCTTTTGACAGCGATATAGTCGCTTTCTCGAGCCACCAGGTTTGTTTGCGCAGTTTCCTCAGATTCTCTTCAATGCAAGATTGCCATCTCGAGAGCCATGACGCGAGCTCTCGCTGCTGCACTCCCCGCTGATGTCGGCAGCAAGATGGCTTGAGCGAACAGCAAACACGGGACACCTCACGGACTGACCGTGTTTACGGTGCCACAGTTCCTTACCCATGCTGCTGGACAAGAACAGAATGCACAAGCGATGCTTGTATGCCTGAAGAGCGACCCAAGTGTTAGAGCTACTTCTCTTTCTGCTGCTTCCACAAGTGATGTAGTGGATGTATGTGATTGCACGCTTGTTGCACATTCGTCATTGCCTCGAGAGTTACTTTGTGACGAGTTTCCTCCTTGTACCAGTATGATTAATCTGAGCCGTTCTCATGCCTCGGTACAACAGATTTTGAAAGGTTTCCGGAAGCGGTGCAGTGACACCACCGTGTGAAACAAGCCTATATTCAACGCCGTTGGAAACTCCAAGATTGAGTTTTTGTGTCTTTTTCTCACCAAGAATCGTTGACCCCTTCGCTCTGTGATTTGATTCTCCGGCAGCTGGACTACTCGCTTGATTAGCAAGTCCAAGCCCGTCATGATGCAGAGTGCGAGGACTCCTAGGACTGTATTCTTCAGGCAGCTATGCGCTAAAGGACTTGGTGGTGTTTCGTGCCTGCTGGCTGAATGCATCAAACAGAGCTTCATGGATTGAAGTGTTGGGCCGTTTCCTACAAGCAAGTGCTGCTACGTTGGGGCAAGTGCGAAGCATCCAACTGGGCTCAAGTGCCGGTGCTAGACTGCGATGTGGGAGCCTACACGGGGAGTTGAAACGTCAGATGTCATATGTATATGTAAAGCTGGCGGTGCAGGAGTTGTTGCGGTTCGGTCCATGTCTTGCAGACACAGATGTCTTGAGACACCCTACCTCTGAAGCTGACATAAAGAAACGGGAACAGTGTTCGGAGGAACTAGAACCAGTCAGCCCGAGGAAACAGCCGCAAAAAACAAGCAAGAGGAGGAAGTGAAGCTCTGAAGCTTTGAGCTCGTTAGGGCCACTGGCTAGACTTGAACACGCATCGACTGGAGAGAGGGAGCATATGTGAGCATCGAAAAGGTAGTGCAGTCGTAGGTCATAGCCATAATGTGATTTCTTACTGTTTCACTCTTCGTATGCCTTCGGCAGGATGGGGTCATTGAGAGGGAGGAATTCGTTGCCATCATTGTGCAATTGCTCAAGGCCGAGTTGCACCCTCGTCATCTAGGAAAGGTCATGTTGGAAACAGGCCAACCGTTCCGACTCCGGTTTGGAGGGAATGTCTTGGCTAGACGGTATTCAGCATGGCAAGACGTCCCGGTGCAAGAGAGGGATGAGGCTATTGCAAAGACGTGTTCGTTCCGTTGTTGCGTTGACGAACAGGGGTGGTATTGGTGATCTTGGCAGAAGTGTTTGTTGCCAGGCCTTGGCCATGCCTGTGACTCAGAACTGGGGTGGTGTGCGCTTCGCAGCATGCCTAATGCAGTGGTGTCGTGGCTGTGCGCGGAGAGCGCCTTTTGGGGTCACGGGCCGGTCTCCTGTCTGAGCTCATCATTGGAAATAAACTTGAAGGCACAAGTCATGCAAGCTGAGGCATGTCTCTGAAGCTGTGGAGCTGCGTGAAGTAATCACAGACCAGCTACATAAGACTCACGGCTGGACCACAATTTCACGAGTCTGTGTCAGACTTGCCTTATCAATGCCAGCACATGAACCGAGGTAGTGCGCTCACGGGAGGAACGCACTTCCCCATTTCACAAACCAAGGCAGGGCAAGGAGGACTCCGGCCGGCGCCGACGGCAGCTGCAGGCCATGCAACATGTGCAGCGTTCCAGAGTCAAGTCTTAAGCGTCAAGCTTCATATTTGGAGCCCTGCCCGGGAGTTCCGCTTCTAGAAAGGAGCCCTGGGCTACTGGACATCCGAGCATGGCTTGTTCGTGCAAAGGCCAGCGTGGCTCAAGACGTAGTGCCCCAACGTATGGCAGTGTAGAGAGGTCTCTGCATGCCATGGCTGGAGTTTCTGGCTACTTGTCAAGATCTCGTTCGGTGCGGAGAGGCGTCGGTACTTGCAAGAAAGACAAACCCAGGGCCTCATGTCATAGCCAGTAATCAAGTGCAAGTTAGCTCTCGCAGTTCGTGTTTTGATTGAAGACTGGAAGCGCTACATCACACAACAGGTATCCTCGCCCTCTAGCTCGTAATGCTTGCCGTATGTCTGGATGAAGCTGTGGTGTTTGAGTGGAGAGCAGAGAGCGAGGCGAGCAAACCTGACCACTGCTCTGGGGCCCTAACACTTTCATGTCTGTCTCACCCTCGAACTGCGATCTCTTCAGTAGACTTCGATGCCAAATTAGCATCTAAGGAGGGCACTCAGACATCCTTGCGCAGAGCTCTTCCGAGTGTGCGTACCTTTCAGTGGCAAGCAGTGGCAGCTGTGGCGTGTTTCCGAAGGCTCATTCAGGGTGTCGGCTGGCAGGAGGATGCTGGTTCCCTTTCAGGTTGCTGCGACACCACTTCAACGTTCCCGGTAGTGAGGTTTGGAGTTCAGGCGTCCTGGGCACATCCCAAGCCTTCACACCGGCAGGCTTTGCCAACGAAAAGCAGGGCAAGCACTGAATTGGAAAGAGAGGCACCTCGGCGTCTCTTCCGGTAGCTGGATTCGATTTGTAGATATGTGGGAAGGCCTGCTTTCATGCTTTCTCAAGGGCCCTGGGCACCGTCAGATGAGTCGCGAGTCGTTTTGGCCAGTCTCGGCAGTCACTATCGGATCTGCATTGGAGGTGGAGGAAGCCTTCGCGGAGATACTGGAGTGGGTGCAGCAGAGTCAAGCCGAAAGTCAGGACTCTGTACGAAGTCTGTTGCATCTTGTCTCCAGTCTTTGAGCATGTTACAGGGCCAGTGCTTGTTCCATGCCGTCTGCAGAGCACCGTACAGTGACGACTTTTCCATGTCCTACTCCTGAAGCCAGGTTTGCGTTGCTACGCGGACAGGTTCGGGATCGAGTAGTACGGGCTCGAGAGATGCAGACATTGTGTGATCATTTATCAAAAGGTCTGGCTTTGAGAATGCAGTCGACTCAGACATTGTCATCCAAACCGATTAGGGATTCAAGTTGGGCCGAAGCGCACGACCGCAAGCTCGTGCAAAGTGCTGCCTTCGGCATGCCACATGTGCAGCCACATACCGGCACGCTTGGCAAGACTGTGGAAGGTGCCTCCAGCGACAAGTCCGAGGCCTCAATCGAATCGGTGAAGCCGAGGGCTAAAAGATCAGGGGGTACCGGACCCCGGAGCCTACACAGATTCTGCCGGAAGCTGACTGCTCGGCAGATCTGCCTTTCGACAAGCCCCTCTCCAGACGGCGTTCCTTCTGTCGTGAAGCGGCACTCGATGAGGGCGTGCAGTTCTCCCACTTTGTGGGGAAGATGCTCAGCAAGCTTCCCGAAGAAGTCGAGGAACCCCACGTGGAGCCCTCAATTCCTCGATTATTCCGGTTCTCGCAATGGATGCTGCTGGGCCTGTTGAAGGCTTGTGGCATTTCTGCTTTTGGTTCATCGGAAGAACAGCCCAGAATCTTCATCAAGGCTTACCACTGCTTTCTCGTACTGACGTTTATTGCGGCAGTGGCCTTCGCCGCTGTTGAGTTTGTCTCCTGCCGACTGCATTCGGATCTGATATCAAACCCTGGCTTTTGCTCTGATGATCCGGGCCCAGCTACCGACTTGGCAGTGTTCTCGGGGGCTCTGGGAGTCTTGATTTACTCTGGCGGCTGGTGTTATTCTGCCAGAAGTGCGACTCGGCAAACAATACTGCAGTACGTATTTGGTTGGAAGCAGGTCCTCGTTCAGGTTGCTGGAGATTCAAGAAACACGGTGACTGCATGAGCTATCTTCTTGTGCTGGTGTATCGGGCCAGTGCGGGGCCTCGCCATAGCTAAATAGACCGAAGACTGGGCGAGATGAGATAAGTGATGCTCATGAAGGACAATGTCAGGCGCTTAGACACTTCGACGCGCGAAAACATATGCAGGACCCCACTGTCGGAAGCTCGGTGAAATACAGTTTGAAATCAATCTCGAACCGATGTTTTCATTGCTTCCCTTTGCTTCTCTTTTCTTCCCAATGCGGCTTCGCCCTCCGATGAGATCTGGGTCCGGGCGGACACCACACGCACAGATCGAGGAGGCGTGTGGTGGGCCAAACAAAACATGTTGCAATGTGGTGGGCCAAACAAAACATGTTGCAAAATGGTTGGGTGTTCATGCCCTTCCCCCCCCCCTCCCCATCTCTTACTTATGTTCTCGACCGGAAATCGCCCACGGGCTCAATGCATTCGCTCATCGAGCATCTGATCTCGGCCATCGGCCAACACACACATGCCTTTGACAGGAGCTCGCTTGCACCGGTTGCTGCAAGCCTCCGCAAAATTCGCTTGTCTTCCAGGGTTGTTGTCTTCCACTTGTCGGTTCAATCCTGAAAACTTTGAGCTTTGTTGCCCATTGTTACCCAGACCGTGTGCATGCTGGTTTGTGCTGCTTGAGTGTCTTACGTGGTTTGCGGCGTTTGTTTGGCTGTGGTTGTGTCTCCACCCCTGTCGTTCGTGCAGTTGACGGGCAAGAATACGAACTCAATGGCCAGTGCAGCCGGCACCTCGGGCGAGCCAAGGGGCAAGCATACGTCCGGTGGTCAGGACACGCGCCTGCAGTGCGATGTATGTGTGTATATATATATACAATCAATATATATATATATATACACACACACATATATATATATATATATACATATTCATGAGGTCGCTATAAATGTATATATATATGTATATATATATATGCACTATATATATATATTTTTTTTTATATTATACTATATATTGAACACTATTTGTATACTGAATTTAGTATGTGGTACTTAGTATACAGTACAAAAGAATGTAGAACAGAGTATATAGTATATAGTACGTAGTATATAGTATATAACATATAGTTTACAGTATACAGTATAGAGTATACAGTATATAGTAGTTAGTATTTTGTATTTAGTGTTTAGTATTTTGTATTTATCAAGTAGTATAGAGTGTATAGTACTGTATATAATAAATAGTATATAGTATATAGTACATAGTATATAGTATATAGTTTATAGTATATAGTATGTTGTATATAGTATATAGTATCTAGTATGTAGTTTGTGCTGTTTATGCTACACTAGAACTTTACATGCGAACTTGTAGTCTATGGTATGTAAGATATAGGATTTTTAGTATATAGCATATGGTAAATAGTATATACTACGTTTAGTGTACATATATGTATATATACGTGTGTTTACATACATGGCATTGCTGGCGCATTTCCTGAACACCAGACTTTTGCTTGCCCCCCGTGGCTCGCGGAATACAAAGGAAGACCCCAAAATGTTTCCCACCTTGCCTGCCTTAGTACTGCTGTCACTCAAAGGTTTCCACAAGCAATGGTGGTCCGTATTGTTTATTTGCAATGAATCGTGCCTCCAACGCGTAGAACCCTCTGTAATTGACGGAAAGTAAGTTGCACCGCACCACAGCGGGAGACTTGCGCAGTGAGCATAAATAACAGGACGCAGAGACCAGATTTGCACAATTGCTGTAAATTACGGGATGCGGGGAGTTTGCAAAGGCACGAAAGCGAGAACCAATAGCCAAAAAACAGCAAGCACAAATTACAGGCCCAAAACACAATTCCACCCTTTTGCGCAATGACATTTGAATGTTGAGTGTAGCAACCTGCGCTTGCTATTGAGCGGACTCTGCCGATGGCCACTCGCGAGGGGTCTCCAAACGTGTGCTGGTTATCAAAGAGCGAGCCGAAAGCCGAAGCTGAGAGAAAAATTGCTCGGGGCGTTGAGGTCCCGAGTCGTTTCGCCCAAAACAGAATCGCGAAGCCATCTTTCACATATTTTGCAGTTCCAAAAATCATGACGCGCCGTATCTGCGAAACTTGACTTCGCTTGATTTCGAGATTTTAGTTTCCACTGAACATCTCTGGGAAGAAGGAGATCCCAAGAGCTGGGCACGCAACGCGCTTCGTGGACTACGATAGGAAATCACCGGTCACTCCCGTTGATTGCGTTTGGTCAGCGCCTGTTGTAGGCACTGCCGTTGTCAATGTTGCGGGCGTGCTCCGGGAGCCTAGTTGTCTACGGTACCGCCATGCACGCGGCGTAAGCTTCTTCATGCTTCTTAGTCCTAATCTTGTCACTCCTTTTCGGTGGCATTCCTTGTGATTGGAGGTGCCACTCACGATTTTAAAAAGTACAACAATCGTCCAGCTGTGTGGTTCAAGGGACGGTGGAACTCTATGAAAACGGCTCGTATCTACATTTGTGAAGGCATGGCACAGCTCACTGAGCTCACGCTCCCGCCTTCAAAATGAAGCATCTTCGTGTCCTTGCCTCTCGTGCAAGGCCTGGTTGGATGAACATCTGACTCCCTTTCCTCCCCTGCCTCCCTGCTTAACTGTTTTCTTTGCTCATTTCTGCCACTCTCGTGTTGAGCCGCCTATGCAACGACCCAGGGGAGGGCATGCATGCCAGGGTGGCTGGAGTTCTGGGTCATGCCTGTTCCATTCAGCGGATGGTCCGAGGGGCGGCGGTTTGCTTCCGCGCATGACACCCGTCTCACAGGTTTGCCAATTCGGCCGCTGCGTTTGAAGAGTGCCTGTCCAGCTGAGGCGATGCTGCGCGAGACCACAGAGATTCTGGCAGTGCTGATGCAGGAACAAGGCTTGGCTTCAGCCTGGGCGAGAACAACCGGCCGCGATGCAACCATCGCTGTGGTGATCTGGCATTTCACCTGCATACATGCATGTTTGCAGGTTTTTGCTTACAACATACCTGTGTGAGCGGAGTGATGCTTTGGTGCTCCAGGCTCGCCCTTGCGTTGTCACGCATCGTCCGGACTGCCCTGCTGGACGGAGGGTCCTACGCATCCATCCTCTCATCGGTCTGCTTTGTTGCATCAAGTGCTGTGCTCGCGTCTTCGGGTTTCCTTCAGATGTTAACATGGCGTGGACTGGGTATAAAGATTCAGTCCTTCATCCAGCCCTTTCTGAACGAGGAGGTCAACTGTCAGGCAGTCAAGACTCGTTGGAGGGTGATGGGCTCCTGCATGCATCAGGCCTCCCAAACGTTTCAGGTTGTCAGTACAGTTATGGGCATGACAACAGTTCTAGGTTCGCTTGCGTTCTTATACGACCTGCAGCAAAGCCTTTTGCTTGCGTCGCTGCCCGGCTTTCTGCTGTGCCTGTTGATGCCGGCTTTCCTCCTACCAGCAGCATTCACTGGAGTCTCTTGCTCAAGTCTGCCGTCGATGATCAGCATGCTGGATCCTGGCGAAGGCGACAAAGATTTTCAGGATTTGGCGGTCTTCCTCGGTCTGACCAACTGTGGGTGCTTTCCGTGGGATACGAAAGTCACTGTCGGGCTACTCCAGAAAGTGGTGTACATGACAGTTGGTTTCGTGGGTACGATCGCACTAAGAGGAGGCATGATTCCTTTTTAAAATGTGATGAAGTTCTGCATTGAACCTAGTGTGGCTCGCGTCCGTGTTCCGCTTGCCTGCGCAGTTGGCTTCGATGCCCAGCCCGAAGCGCGGAGGAGTTTTAGAAAGATGATTTTGAAGGTGGTTCTGTA